TGCAGGGCCGTCCTCGCTGCCCAGGATCCATGTTCCCGGCGCCGGGCGCCTGGCTGGCAGGGGCGGTGCTGGGAGGCCCCGATCGCCGCCCCCGGGGCCTGGCAGCTGCAGGGGGCTCCGGGCTCCGGGCGGAATGGGAGGTCCGGGCGCCGGCGGCTGCCCGGGCGGCGCAGTGTGAATGTGGGCTTGACAGATGTGCCTCTGACAGAGCAGAATCGCACGTCACTGCTCGCTGGGGCCCACGTGATCGCTTGCATTCATTTGGCCCAAAAGCCGAGGGTGGGGGGAGCTCAGCGATGGTGCTTCTGTGGCAGATACTCGCCCAGCCGGCGAGGCGATGGGTGCAGAGCAAGAGGATGGCGTGATTAGCAAATGAATGGCCGTCAGTGCATTTTATTGTTTTATCTCATGTCCCTTTTTTAATGTCTTTACTTTATGCTTAAGCACAGGCTTTCTGAATGTTTTCAGGGTTAGATGTTGATTTTCGTGTGTGTGTGTGTGTGTGTGTGTGTGTGTACACGGTTTTATAGGACATTACAATATAAGCTTTTACATGCAACTTGATCTGATTTCACCCTTCAATGCACTGCTTCCTTTGAAATTTTTCTCCCTCCGCCCCCAAGTTGCCTCCCTTTTGCTAACACCTGGTCCCCGCTCCTGGGCTGTTTTCTTTGATCTGTGCCTCGAACCACCCCCCCTGGGGGCTTATGGAAGGCAGCTGCCCGGCTGCTCTCCCCACTCCCAGCCTGGTACAGCTCCTGCTTTGTTCTCCTCTGGTGCCTGCTGTCCTTGAAGGCTGAAAACTCCATCCTTAATCACGTTTCATGCGAGCACTGATTTTTTACTTATTCTGCCTTTGTTCGGAATTCCATGGACGGTAACTTTCAGCAGGAGGATAGGGTAGACAGCGCTCGTGCGAAGGGTCTCCGGTGGGCAGGTAGGCTTTCTGATCGGGTCCCTGGTCCCCGTGTTTGGGGGGGATGGTCGCTAGCTGTCAGGGAGGTTTCGGTCCGCACAGATCAAGGATTTCTTGGTATTTAGTCTCCTGGGCACCTCCTTTTTCCTGCAGCGTATTGGGGCGTTGTTTTTTTTTTTTTTTTTTTAAACAGCTTGAATTACCAGTTTTTCCCCAATTAGGGACTCTAACTCCTAGAAATTTGTAGTTTGGGGACTTAAGCTGTATGTTTGTGGGCCTGTATCCCCAGCAATGTCTGTTATATCAAATATAGCCTTTCATTTCCTATAATCTTGATTATCGCATGTCACTTTATGGAGGAAGTACTGATGCTAGAGATTAATTCAGGATCAAAGAAGAATCCAAAGTCCGCACACTTTATTTACAGTATGCTTTTAAGGAACACAAAACTCAAATACAGAGACAGGCCCAAGTGACTGCAGACTGCTCTGTGAATGTTATTGCCAGGGGCTGGCTCAGGGTCAGGAAGGGGTGGCCTGGAGGAAGGACAAAGATGGGACGTGAAAAAGACCATTTTGCCGCATTCCATTTTCTTCTTTTTTATTTTTTTTATTTTATTATTTTTTTTTAATGTATTTTATTGATTTTTAACAGGAAGAGAGGGCTAGAGAGTTAGAAACATCAATGAGAGAAAAACATCCATCAACTGCCTCCTGCACACCCCCTACTGGGGATGTGCCCGCAACCAAGGTACATGCCCTTGACCGGAATCGAACCCGGAACCCTTCAGTCCGCAGGCCGACGCTCTATCCACTGAGCCAAACCGGTTTTGGCCATTTTCTTCTTTTTTAAAATCCTCACCCACGGGCATGTTTTTATTGATTTTTTATTTATTTATTTTTTTAGATTGGAGGGGGAGAGAGAAACATCCATATGAGAGAGACATACTGATCAGTTGCCTGCTTTTCGAACCCGAGACCCTTCCGTGCATAGGAGGATGCTCCAACCCACTGGGCCACACTAGCCCGGGGGTAGATTTCATTTTCCCATCTTCCCAACTTTGAGCAAGGACCCCTCCCCCCAAGCCTGGGTTAACCGACTTTACAAACATAACCCTGCTGGAGCCCGCCCGTCCCTGCCCCGCACGCAGCCCGCTGTCCACATCGCCGCCTTCGCCCAGGCCAGAGCCCGGGAGTGTGGGGCCCCTACATTTCCGGGGGGTTGTTGATCACACTTGCGGTGGGGCCAGTGCTTGCACAGCAAAGACTCCTGGGAACCCATAGCGGGCCTGTGCACCCCACCAGCATGGACTTCCCTCTTAGGCCACACCGCGCTCTGTCCCTAAGTTCAGGGTCCGAGAGGGGAGGAAACTGAGCGGGCGCGAGAGGAAAGCCCCTCAGTGCCTTCCCAGCAGCCTCATGTTTCCAGCCGGAGTCTGTGGAGAGCCTGTGGCAGGCACGCTTGTAGGAGTCCTCCCTTTGTCTCGCTCCTTGTAACATCGGAATGCTCCGGTGAAACTTTCTCAGTGGATGTGACAAGCGTCTTGTCAGACTCAGCAAACTGGCAGCTGGTTTGTTAAGTTCTATAGGTCTGCATAACGGTCTTGTAGTTGTTCCCTGCACGGGCCTACTTTCAAACCCTGACACACCCCGAGGGGAACTGGGGTGGCATTCCAGTTCGCAGGAGCCAGCGCTGGCCAGAAGTAACGGTTTCATTCTGTTTGTGAGGAATCAGTATAACCTTAATCGTTACCTAATAGTAAAGATGAGTCATTTCAGGGACTTACCAGGAATACCGGTTAATAATGTGGATTTTTTTTCAATTGATAGAGTTGCACATACGTTGATATGAATGCAATTTATACGTATGCTATTTTGTTGACAGCAAGCTTCAAAACTTCATATGTCAAGTTTTCTGAAGGTGTTAGCATCATAGATATTTTTACGCTTAAAAATGTTGAATTTCATGCAAAAAAAAAAGCATTTGCGGGAAATTTTAATTCATTACTTTATTTTGAAGAAAAGTGCTGCTGAAAGTTATCTATACTTCGGGAAGCTTATGGTGAACATGCTCCATCTCAAGACATTTGTGAACGCTGGTTTAAACGCTTTAAAAGGGATGATTTTGATGTGAAAGAACGTCCAGGTCAACCGAAAAAGTTGGAAGACCAGCAATTACAAGCATTATTGGATGAAGATTAGTGTCAAACTCAAAAACAACTTGCAGAGAGATTCAACGTTGCTCAGCAAACAATTTCCGATCATTTACAAGCAACCGGGAAAGATTTTAAAGGAAGGAAAATGGGTGCCACATAAACTGAAAGAAAGTCTTTTGCATCGAATTGTGACTGGCGATGAAAAGTGGATTTATTTTGAGAATCACACATCATGGGTTGATCAGGTCAACCATCAACATCGACTACAAGGCCAAATCGCTTCGGAAAGAGACAATGCTCTGCGTTTGGTGGGATCAGGAAGGTGTGGCGTTTTATGAGCTTCTCAAACCAGGTGAAACGGTTAATACTGATCACTACCGACAACAAGTCATCAATTTGAACCACGCTTTGATCATAAAACAGTGGTTCTCAACCTTTTTAATGCCGCGACCCTTTAATACAGTTCCTCATGTTGTGGTGACCCCCAACCAGAAAATTATTTTCATGGCTACTTCATCACTGTAATTTTGCTACTGTTAATGAATCGTAATGTAAATATCTGTGTCTTCCGATGGTCTTAGGCTCTAGAGCAGCGGTTCTCAACCTGTGGGTCGACTAAGACCATCGGAAAACACAGATTACAATATGATTGATTTATTACTTATTACGTTATGATTTATACATTTACATTATGATTCATTAACAGTAGCAAAATTACAGTTATGAAGTAGCAAGGAAAATAATTTCATGGTTTCCCTAGGAATTGAACTGCAGTGTATGGAGGGAGAGTGCATTTCACTTTGCTCTGAACTTGGCTCGTGGCTCACCGTTTTTGAGAAATCATGTTGCCCGAGGCGCTGAGGCTTATGGGCATTGAATGAGGCACAGCACCCCTGTCGTGGGCACTCGCATCCACTTTGGTTGATGTGTAGGTGCTGGTCGCTGATGACCTCATTCGTCTCCTGGTATAGTCAGGTCTGAGGCTCCGGTGGCAATACCTATCGTTACCATAAATTAAAATAAAATCTTCTTGTTGAAAGGATTACATAGGTCCCCTTCTTCCCCACATTGACCCTGTCTAGCGCCATCCCCCTTCCTCGTCCTCACCACCCACCATCTGTGTCCATGGGTCAGGCATATATGCGTACAAGTTCTTTGGGTGCTGTCTTTCCCCCTTCCCTCAAAAGTTTATTTAAAATAAAATCTTTTAATGGAAAAAAAAAAATGAGCATGAAAATTATTGAAACTAATGCACTACAGATAAATAACTTTTAAAGTGTTTTAAGTATTTCAGCGTCATCAACAAATGGTTGATAAAACTCAACATTCAGCGCATTTTCTTGTATATATCACAAGCTTAGTAATTAGTTGAGATTTGCTATTCAGTTTTTAAGATATTTTTAATCACTCCTAAATGTAACAAATCTCATCTTTGTCAATGGGATTATTTATTTTCCCTGAATATTTTAAAGGCATTCATGTCAAGTGTTTGTGGTTTTTAATGCAAACTTACATTGTTTACATCTGTCTAATCTGAGGTTATATATTACTCACTTTGAGACTGTTTAAGGGGAAAAAGATTGACTTGATTTAAAAAATGATGACATTCCTGAGATATTAAAATTGTCAGCAATTACACAAATCATTGAATATTTCAGAAATACTACATGCTCATACTAACTGCTGTTTGGTAACAGTTTTAAATTCATGTTCCACTTAAGATTTCTATTTCTATTTCATGACCAATAGTATACAAATAAGCAAAGGTGTTTTGCTTTTAAACGCTTAGGGTCCGCCAGAGCGTGTTTGGTGGGGAGACTCATTGAAGGACGAATAGATGTGAAATGTAAGTGCAGTAATTAAGTGAATGTGTCTTACTATTTTGTAGGGAAACGTCAACGTCACATGTCACTTTTTATTCTTTTAAAGGAGGGTGCGTCGGCCCGTAAGACTCAGACACCTGCAGCACAGCCCGTACCGAGACCAGGTAAACATAGGAGCTTTCCCTCAGTGATCACACGGTGCAACGTTGTGGGTATTTATAGTTCCTTCAAGGGCCTGAAACTTCATGTCAAACCTTCTCAAATAACATCACAGGAACACTTACCCTGACAATAGGTATAGTTGAAGAGTTAAAGAAAAACTTAAGAAAATGACTTTAAATATTTTAGAAAAATGGTTTAAAAAGCAGAGGATATATAGCACCCTCTCACCAATTCCTTGTTTGAGCTCCGTGATGGCGCACATGGATGTGATTTCCCCTTAATAGGAGCATGAAACCATATCTTAATAGATTGGTGGGCAGCTCTGATGCCAGGAACATCAGAAGTCTGTGTTAGGAAGCATATCAGGGTCTGTAATCGTCTTCAGAGGTTAAGCAGAGGTGACTGTGCCTTGCGAGGCCCACCTGGTCCAGGGGACTAAGAGGCACAAGCCCTCGCCAAGCTGGGCATGGACCCGGCTAGCCTTTCCTTCCATAACCGTGCCAACGCCCCGCACATATCACTGTCCCCCCTGTTCCCCCTTCCTGCACACACACCGCACTCCGGGCCCCCCTCCTGCCTTCACTGCCTGGGTTTCCAGGTGGGGAGGTGGCCTGTGGCTCTTACGCTGCCCAGTCACCACTCCCTAAGCTGTGTGTGGGCTGGAGGACTCCTTCCGTGGCTTTAACTCATGTACTGATGACCCCAGTGCAGACACCTCTTCCTAGGGCTGGCTAACGTTCGGGTGTGCCACAGGCATTTTACAACGGAGGAAAACCTTTATTCCCGGATATTTCCCCCCGAGGGCTGCCTGCACACTTCCTGCTTCATGTATCAAGAGCACCACCATCCTCCCTGTTTCTTAAGCCTGAAACTTCTGAGAATTATTCATTCTTCGCATTTGCTGCTCTGCCAGGGGCCGTTTGGTATTTATGACATCATTCGCTGGCCACACAGAATGATCCACTTAAGCGTTAGCTGCTGTATCTGGTCAGACATTTAATGAACTCGCCCTCCAGAGCCTCGGCAGGGCCAGACCCAGGAATTCCGTGGGCCTTCCCTCGGGAGCATGTGTGGGAGGAGAGCATGGTGGTCTCCACATCCAGGCATGGCACCTGTGTTTAGTCACCTGACCCTGGACTGGGGATGGAAGAAACACACCCTCATCCTAACACACACACACACACACACCCACACACACACACACACACACACACGATATTTCGCATAGTGCAGACTGGTGGATAGCCGTGACTGAGCTGGTCATCTTCAATCAGAAATACTTTTCAGGCCTTACTTGCTATTGAAGCTTAAATGATGTGGTTTTTGTAACATTCAGAAGTCTGCTTTTTATTTTTCTCTCAACAGTTTCTCAGGCAAGACCTCCTCCTAATCAGAAGAAAGGTAAGATTTTGCCAACGATTCTAAACTTACTTTACAAAGTAAATGTGAAAAAGCTAGATGCTAGATCACAGAGCCGGGCTGATGCTATGCCTGCGCTCTCGTATCGACTGCGTGTGCTGGCTGTCTCTCCGGATTAGTCGGTTCGTAGGTCATATTGACTTTGAATTTTTTATTTTCATTTTTATTGATTTCAGAAAGGAAGGGAGAGGGAGAGAGAGAAAGAATCATGAATCGGCTGCCTCCTGCACACCCCACACTGGGGATCAAGCCCGCAGCGTGGGCCTGTGCCCTGACCAGGAGTCTAACGGTGGCCTCCTGGCTCATAGGTTGATGCTGGCCAGCTGATAGTGAAATAGTTTGAATATCGCTGCTAGCTTAAAGTGTTCTTTAGGTCTAAAGAGTGAAAATTTTACACATACAAGCTTTTGATTGGGAAAGCAACGATAATTCCTGTTCATGGAAATAACACACTTGTAAATAACCTCTACACACGTTGCCCTTGCAGGTTCTCGCACACCCATCATCATCATTCCCGCCGCTACCACCTCTTTAATAACCATGCTCAACGCCAAGGACCTGCTGCAGGACCTCAAGTAAGGGCTCTGTCAGCTCCTGTCCCCCGTGCGCACTCGGCCCTGCGTGGTAGTCCCTTCAGTAGCTCTTACCTGGAGAGTACAGAGTTCCCATTCCTGCTTACACAGGGAGTCTGAAGTATAATTTTCAAACACAGTTAGTCTTTTATACCTGGATCCTGACATCCACCTTCCGAATGACAATAATGCTTTATATTACTTGAATGGTGTTACATTTAAAATTCTTGGTAAAAAATATTTTTGGTTGTAACGAGGAAAACACACACCCTCAGTCACTGTCTATGGGAGGAGTGAGTGATGCTCTGTCTTTTTTAGTAAAATAACGATGACTGGCAGTTCTTAAAGGAGGAGAAAGAGGATCCTTCCCTCCAAAGAAGGGCTCAGACTGCTTCTAATGAAAAGCCAGAGCCATTGAGTTGTGGTGCTTGCTGATTTTAGGTTTTACCAACTGCAGGATTGGCTTTTATATGCCTGTGACTTAAACTAGACGTGTAACAATCCATGTAAGCGGGCATATACAAGTTCACCCATTCACTAAGTATTTTTTATTTGTACCTTTGAGTGAAAATTTTAATGAACTTCTTTCCATTAACGGTATGGAATAAAGGAGGTTTTGTTTTTTTTTTAATTGAATTTATTGGGGTAACATTGGTTGATAAAATTACAGATTTTAAGGGTACAGAGGAATTTTTATATTTTGTATCTCATATTTTACTAGTGGTCCTGCATATGAATTCATGTGCCAGTAGCTTGCCAGTTGATCGCTGCTGCCCTCCTGTAGCTCTCTGCCCGCCTCCTAGGCACCCCCAACCCCCGTTTGCTCATCTCCCTACCCCCCCCTCATAGCTTTTTGCCCTGCCCCCTCCTGTAGCTCTCCACCTCACCCTCCTGCTGATCCGTGATCTGGTCGTTATGCTTCATGGCATATTATGTAGGATTAGTCTTTATTATGTAGGATTAGGCTTGTATACTGAAGTTTGCTATCCTGTGTTGTGGATTACTCTGGTAATCCCCCCGATAATCTACCATCCCTCACATGATCTGCAGTTGGGTGAATAAGAAATAGAATAATTTTCACCCACCTCCTGACATAGCTCTGATAATATGAGACAGCTAGACTCACATGAACATGGTTTTGATTAACTAAAACGTGTCTGCTTTTCACCTTCTTATCAGTTTGCAAGAGTGGGTCGTGCATCATTTATTCTCTGAAATCCGAAACGCCTCTGTCTTGGTTTGGCTCGGCACAGGCTTCCTCGTGCAATCTGGCCCCAGTCTGTTCCAGCTCCGCTGTGATTTCTCGGAGAAAGGGACTTGTTCTCTCGTTCTTCTTGTATCTCCGCTGGCTGAACCAGATGTTGCCTCTCACGGGCACTGAGTGAATGTCTAGGAAGGGGGAGGGGGAAGGGGAGACGCATTGAGAACTTGGGGAGTGTGGACTCTGCATTGAAGAGTGTCCGCTGTGCATTTATTAGTGCACCCGTCTCTGGTTAAGCTCCTCCGTGATACATGGCAGTCATGCCTGCACCTGGGACTGGACTTCAGTTCCCAGTAGCGTTGTCATACTTGGGGTTGGGCTTTGTGCTCTTACTGTATATGGATCTTTACGATCTTTCCCAGCTCTTGGTTTTTATGATTTGTGGACTTGGTATTTATGGTTCTCGTTATGTTTAGTCATTGGCAACTGTATTTTTATAAGTGTGTCTGCACGGTTCCAGAAAACTTACAGTAAGCTTGACATGTTACAAAGGAAACCCTGCATTAATTTTTCATTCTCTGAGTCTTTTGGTGCCTCTCTGCCTATATTACACACCTAATACTTGGGTTATTTCATAACGGAAGGCAGCGAGCAGTGCCCAGAAAGCTACCCGTGGGTCTAGGGGTCTTTCTCCTTCGTCCCTCTGCACAGAAGCCAGCAGTCCGGCAGGCCGCGTTCCGAGGGCTGACCAGGCCAGTTCCCGCCCAAGTTGGAAACACTCCCTTCATTGTTTAACACCTCATTGCAGCTGACACGTCCCCCACCGCGTGAGTCAGCTGGAGGCCGGGCTGTGTAATTAATGCATAATTGAGGCCTCCCCCACACAATTACAGGCCTGGCTGTGACCCACAGCTCATGTGGGCCTGGATCCGTCCATTTTTAGCCCTGCAGCAAGCGAGAGAAACAAAACAAAATAAAATCCACCCTGACTTGAACGTCCTAAATAGCAAAATTAAGGCCGCAGTGGAAGTAATGAAAGAGCACATCTTACATTTATCACATGCTTTTGAGAGAGGCCTGGGTGGGACTGTAACTCTATTCAAAATAACTGATGGAAGGCATGCACGATCCTGGCTGAGATGTAGCGTCTCAGGGCAGAGTTCCAGCGAGGAGCGATGGCACTGGGGAGGGCCCCAGGGGCTCGCCTGGCTGAGCACACGGGTTTTAGGGGGAAGAAGCCGCAGGAAGGGGCGGAGTTGGCCACGGCCTGAGTGGCCCGGCCCCAGCAGCACGGCAGCATGACTCAGCTGCCCCGGAGAAGACATCCCACTGCTTCCAGCTTCCACTGGCGAGGACAGCAAGTCGGCTGTCAGTCCTCGAAGGAACTCTGCTTTATCTGGGGATTTTAAGGATCGTTTTACATTTGTTCACCTGCTGGGCCTCGCCGTCCCCTTTGACAGCTGTGAGTCTGTCTCCGCTGTGTTAGTTCAGTTTGTTTAGAGGATTCCAGCAAGTGCAAGTTCTCGTGTATCCCTCCCCCCATGTCTCCCTGAACTTGAGAAGCAGTACGACCCACGCTCAGTGCGCTGGTGGCATCACCCCACGTAGCGGCAGGCACTCCAGAGCTGGGAGCCAGGAAAACGTGCCAGTAGGCTGTTAGAGGAATGTGTGTGTGCTTTAAAAGACGGCTGTGAAGCACTTTGTGGTCACCAACAAGCCTGGCGCTGGCCGCAGCTCTGCGGACGCCGCAGTGTCTTTGAGAATGAGGGTGATGCCCAGCAGAGAGGGCTTTAATTTCCTTAGTCTGAAATTTGCACAGCAGCCCTGAGCTGGGTGGCATGTCTCTGGCTTTGCTGGGCAGACACTGTGTCGGGTGTTTTGTGAGGCCTCGCCAGCCTCGTCACCTTCAGCCAATCCTCCTTCCAGTTTCAAGTAAAACCTCTTACGGAGGAGTCAAGGCTTAGTGGTTTTCTCTGTAGCCGTGGAGCATGCCGAGTGCTCGGTGAATGTAAATGTGTGCGAGAAGCCCTCCAGGCTGACTGAGGGCTGAAGGGGAAAAAAAGACCTTGCTTTCCAAGCCTCACCTGAACATGCAGAACAGACGCATCTTCAAAATAAGTGTTTTTGACTTAAAACTCAAGTGTTTAGAAAATCATTTCGAAACAGGGCTTGCTTTCTGTTTTCATCCCATCGCGCCGTTTGACCTCTCCCTCCTCCGTGTTTCCCCAGGTTCGTCCCGTCGGACGAGAAGAAGAAGCAGGGCTGCCAGCGGGAGAACGAGACGCTGATCCAGCGGAGGAAAGACCAGATGCAGCCGGGCGGCACGGCGCTCAGCGTCACGGTGCCCTACAGGGTCGTGGACCAGCCCCTGAAACTTATGCCTCAGGACTGGTGAGCTCTCTCTCCCACCCCAGCTCCCTGTGGCGCGGAGTTTCCACGAGGCATAAACGGAACCTGCTTGTGCAGCCTATGCCTCATTGGGTCATCATTGGTACAGGCCAGGGCCCGGCTGGTGTGGCTCAGTGGGTGAGTGCCGACCAGTAAACCAGCACTTCAGGACTGGATTCCCGGTCAGGGCACAGGCCCGGGGTTGCGGGCTTGATCCCCAGTAGGGGGCGTGCAGGAGGCAGCTGATGTGATTCTCTTTCGTCATTGATGTTTCTCTCTCCCTCTCCCTTCTTCTCTGAGATTAATAAAAATGTATTTAAAAAATATATAGACCAGTGATACCTAATCAAATGTATACTTTCTGTAGCTAAACTTTATTTCACTCAGAAGAAGGAACACTAGCTTCTGGAAAACTTAGTAAAAGTTCTCGCCACTGGTCCGTGGGTTCCGAATCAGCCTTTAGAGTAGACTCCGAGCAGATGACACTGTGAGGCCCGTTTCTGATCTTGGGCTTGGGAAACTCAGACTTCCTGGTGAGAAAGGGCAGCAAAGGCGTTGCTACATTTATTGCTAGGGAGTAATTTAATAAGAATGGCCTGATCACCTGGGTTAGCTCTTTTATTATGTTGAATGTTCTTTAATAAAACACTGAGCTGTGTGTAATATAAGGGCCTGTAAGTGAAGATGAAGGAATTACCCTTAAATTACTCTGTTAATCTTTGCTGCAGTGAAGGTACAGAGTCCAGGAGTGCCGCCCCTCCCTTCCCCTCCCCTCCCCTCCCTTCTCCTCCTCTCACCTCCTCTCCCCTCCTCTCCCCTTCCCTCCCTTCCTCTCCCCTCCTCTCCGTGACATGGAGAGCTTCCTGCATCGGGGCAGGCGATGGACTTGCCCTGCAGACACAGGAAGTGAGGCCATTGGCAGTGTCAGTGCGTCCAACATCTGTTTAAAGAAAGAAGCATCAATGATGAGAGAGACTTAGTGATCGGCTGCTGGGGCATGTGCCCTGACCGGGAATCGACTTCCTAGTTCATAGGTCGATGCTTAACCGCTGAGCCATGCCAGCTGGGCCAGTTACTTTTTAAAGTAATGGCATATGAGGGCCTTGGAGGAGATGTGTTCTTTTTTGGGGAAAAGCGACTTACATGGTTGGTAAAGCAAGTTGCTTTAAGGAAAACTTACAGAATGTGTGGAGAATGAAACCAGTTTTAAAGCAATTGCAAAGTTTAAGGAAAGTCTAGATAGTTTCTGTACTCAGATTGCTTCCAAATAGTCAGAATTTAAAAAGAAGGCCTTGGCGCTTTATAACATGGTTGAATTATACTATACTGCCTGGTGTTTTTTAATTAAAGTAAGCCATCTAACGTTTGTTTGGATTTTAAGTGATTTCCTTTAAAACCAGCTTTTTGATGAATAGATCAGCTACTGCTGCCTGCCATTGTGGTCACCAGAAGCAGAGAGAAGGCCTGAGAGTGTGCCTGTCACTGTCACTGATTACAGGGAGGAGGCGTGGGCCCCGGCCTCGTCCACGCGCGGTGATGACAGCGCCCGCCCGCTCCTCCCTGACCCTCCCGCCCTTTCTGTTCGCAGGGACCGGGTCGTGGCCGTTTTCGTGCAGGGTCCTGCGTGGCAGTTCAAAGGGTGGCCATGGCTTTTGCCGGATGGATCACCAGTTGACATATTCGCCAAAAGTAAGATTCTGTTTTGTGCCGCGAGCCCCACCCAGGAATGCCGGTGCTCTGTGTGAGAGGAGGCCGCCTCCCCCTCAGAGGAGGGTCCCTGCCAGGGTCCCTGTCCAGTCACAGGCGTGATCTTCCTTTGTAAGCGCCCGAGGAGTGTTTTAAAGCCTTTAGAACATCATGTGCCCTCCAACACCGGCAGTTACCTTTTAGGCTGCTTTACAGGAATCCTCTCTCTAACTCCCTCTCTTCATCCCACCCTCAATCCACCGGAGCCTCACTTCTCTTGCTTCCACTAACCCGTTCCCACCAAGCTCACTAGTGACCCAGACACTGCATCCTTGGGCCTCCTGAGCACAATTTGACTCTCGGAGTCACGTGTTCTCTTTTTTAAACGTCCTTCTCCCTGGCTGGAGGCCGTGCTGATGGCACAGGCCCTGGTCCCATCCCCGCCCGAACCCCAACATCCTTCCGTGCTTCCTTCCTCCTCGCCGTCATCTCTTACCAATCCCGTTAGTTCTCACTCCCTAATTATTTCTTCTCGAGTGTTGTTCTGGCCATACACATGCCGTCTCCCGGCTGATCCGCTGTCCCCTCTGGAATCCTAGTGGGGCCGTTCCTCTCTGCTCAGCACTCTGCAGTCTCTGGTGGGTGAGGGAGAGGCCCGGACTCCACCGGACGGCCTGCAGCCAGCTGTGCTCCCCACCTCCGAGGGGCTCCCTCTGCCTCGCTCCCAGGAGGGACGTGTGGTTCCATCCAGTTTCCTTGGGTTCTAGAGGGAACTGCTTGCTCTCTGAGCATGCTCTCACTCTGGTTCCATGTTAGCCCAGCTCTTACCCGCCTTCCGGTCTTAGGTCAGACATCACTGCCGGTGCAAGCCTGTCCTGAATCCCACGGTTGTGATTCTGTATTTCCTAGTCTTCTTTCCGCTGGACCGTTGCATTGCACCTCAGCCCTCTTTCCAGTCCCGGTGGCTGGCACGTGCGAACCCTTAGTAAATACTTGTCAGCTGGATGTTTTTTGAGGATGCCACCGTTTTAGCATCCACCCCAAAGATCACCTCAGATGTTGTAAGTTGGTGGGAGAAAAATGGCTTTTTGTTTTTGTTTGTCTTGCTGCAGTCTGTGCTGGGTATTTTAATTTATTCTAGAGCCCTGTAATAACGTGGCGTGCGTTCTGAGTGAAGGATGTTATCTCCCCTGCAGTCAAAGCCTTCCATCTCAAGTACGATGAAGTCCGCCTGGACCCCAACGTGCAGAAGTGGGACGTCACGGTGCTGGAGCTGAGCTACCACAAGCGCCACCTGGACCGGCCGGTGTTCCTGCGCTTCTGGGAGACGCTGGACAGGTACTCCGCCCGCGGCGCGGCCTCCGCTTTCCTGCGGCCGCTCTCCAGTTCCGTTAGCCGGAGCCGCTTCCCCCGGGTCTGCCTCCTGCTGATCCGCGGGAGAGCTGGCGGCTGGCCCTGCCGTGCTGACTGTAGACTCAGGGAGAGAAAGGGCTCCTAACACAGCAGAAAGCTCACCAGCCTCTGGGCAGGAAGACCTGATCGGCCTCCACCCCGTAGTCGGGCCTCTGACCCTGGTGTCTGTCCCTCTAGGGTCTTTAGCTGTGTTCAGGTGTGGGCAGCCCGGGAAAGGAACTGAGTTGCTGAATGTATTTAACTCCTCTGGAGAGGATGTAAGTCCTTTACAGCAACAGGAGTCTTATGGTGGGAACTTTAAGAACAGCACGCGGTCACAGTTAGTACCCTGACCCTAACGCTCTGGGTCTTAAGGCCCCACTGATGGTTACGGGTTTCCTCAGAGTCAGGTGACTGAAGTAGCCGGTGGTTATAATTTATAAGACACTGAAGAGGGACACTTAGAACTCTAGCGAGACGTCTTACAGGCTTCTCGCTTCCCCCAGCAGCCCCCTTCCCCAAGGTCACAGCAGAAGCTTCCAGAGACGGCCAGCCCCTCTCACTGCTGACTTTAAGTATCTTTACATGTCATCGTCTATTATGGCGTGTTGTCATCCTGTTTTCCAGGTACATGGTAAAGCATAAATCCCACTTGAGGTTCTGAATTGCCTGGTCTCCCGGCTGGAATCTGGGTGACGGAGCATGGATAGACCTTCATGTACAGACTGAGTGTCCATGAGTCCATCCAGCACTCACAGGGACGAAGGTCACGGCGAGCACACGATCTCCTCCGATGCCGTTGTCTGCAAAGGGATCATGGAAGCCTGCCATTCACAGAAGCAAACTTTTTGGCCTACAACTATTTTTTTAATATTAGCCTTCTAGTCTGTAATGGAAATTGTATATTTTGATAGACATTTTTTTCTCCATTGGTTTAACTAGCATTACTTAAAACGTGTTTCTTTAGAAAACGCAGGTTCTTCATGTGTGTATATGTAGAGGTGACGAGGCCCCAGGAGCCATCTTGCCTCTGATTTTTCATTGCTCTATAATTCCTCTTACTGAGAATACTGTGTTACGAATGGTATTAAATATTAGTTTCTGGAACTTGCAAAAACCAAGCAAAGGGATGTGACTATTTTGAATGAGTCAGAATGGCAGCCTGTATGTAGACCATATGTATACGTAGTCTTTATTTAAAAAGGAATAATGAAAAACCAAGAACACTTCTTCAGCTTTGGTTGGACTACTTTAGCCTTTTGGAGACTTCTTACGTTGAATACGTGGAATGAATGTACGTTCTTCTCGCTGACTTTGCTGGTTTTAAAACTTAGGAGGATATGTTTCTATCTGGGATGCCTTCCCGCTAGAAAAGTCTCGGAACCGGTTGAGACCCCAATAGGCCGCAGGACTTTCTAGCTGGGAGCCAGAGTGTGAGCTGGGGGAGGGAGTGCTTCTGCCTCCTGCAGCATCATTTCCGCTCCCCCCCGGAGCGGGCGTGGGGCTCCGAGTCTTCTGTTTCCGGGCACTTGGGCCTTGGCGTCGTCCTCTGCCATTTCCCCTCAATGCCGACCAGTTCTCCGGCACCAAAGAACACGTTTGCTTAAGAAGTGTCTGAACAGAAACAAGATGAAAACACTGGTATTTTTTATGTGCGTATTCAATAGCGTATGGAATATAAAACCTCTATTTTAACTTAGTGAAATATTTTACTACTTCTCTACTTCAGACCGGGCGTTGCATCCATGGTTCAACGAATGAGCTTTTCCCTCGAGTCTTAACTTCCCCTCCTTTGCCACTTAGAGTAACGTGGACCCTTTATTCCCCTGGCGAGTTTTTTCCATTAGAATCGTTGCTGGTCATTTATATCATCCCCTCATCTCCCTCCTTCCATCCCCCCCGCACCCCCATGCATCTCTCTTGGGTTGACATATTTTTTGTGTGAACATTTAACTCCTCCTCATGTTCAGATGCCATCACCTGGCCTCATTTTGAAATTGAACGCTGTCATAAAAACGAGAAAGCACTTATTACTCTTTAACCATAAAAGTCCATGCCAACAGAGAACGAGGAAATGACTTACCCGCATGGAATTCTCTAGGCTTTTCAGGAGAAAAGCGTCCGCGCTGAGAATGACTGTGTCTTAGGGCGTTGATGAAGTTTGTACAGATTCCCCTCCCCCTTGCTTTTTCTGCCCCGCATCCTCCCCTCTCGGAAATAAAAGAAAACTTTACATTTGTTCGCATCAGGCCCCTCTCCGCATAGAAGTCTCTCTGCAGACTGAGTGATGCCTCCATCAGCTCCCTCCCTGGTGAAATGGGCCCGGTCTGGACTCTGTGATATTAAGCTTACCTGTTGAGACTACTACAAGTGGACACGAACTACCTTTCTATAAAGATTTTTAGTATTTATACTTCTGTGTGAACTTTACTTGATCCAGAGTGTGGTTACAACCGGGAACATCTCCTTTCCACAGGATTTATTTTTCTATCTTGCATCTGCCTCAGACGTATTGGAAGGCTCTGGAAATACCGTACGGAGCGTTAGGACACGTACCAGTGTGCTCTGCCGTGTTTTAAAATCAGACGCTGAGCATGTAATGGTTTCCTTTGTCTTTTTCTCTTTTCCAGTCCCTTGCTTAGGTCCCTATAATCAATCTGTAGCCATTGATCCTAAAGAGAAACACATGACACAACACAAAAAGCCCACACCCACCTGCTAGCCAGCCACCATTCGTTCTCTCCTGACTCCACCTGCCGCAGTGCCTTGCACGTAGTAGCATTCACATACGCGAATCAGTGATGTGTTTCCAGTGGAACCGATGTGTCCAAGGCAGTCCTCTGACCGTACTTAGTCTTAGGATTTAAAAACACAGAACTGGAGGGAAAGAAGGGGCACAGGAACACATTCTGATGGACGTGAACTAACCCGTTAACACGCGTGACTTCCCCATAAGTTCCTCTCACAGGAGACTCCCTTGTCCTGTCCCCCCTAACAGCGGGCTCCGTCTCATTATCGGGGGGCACTTGTAACAGCGAGAAGCATGTGGGGTTCCCCGGACCTGAGGTGGGGACTCGTTTGGGGTCCTTCTTAGAAACGGCGCTGCCTGCATTCTGGTTCTGATTTCCTTAGTCTGGGATGAGGCCGGGGCATCCATAGTCCTTCAATGCTCTTGGAAAAGGATTGAGAATCACTGGTTTAATTGGTAACTGAGGACAATACCAGTCTGAAATGTTGTGTTTGCTTTTTTCTATTTTTTTCTTTTTCTTTTCGGATTACCCTTTTGCACTAGACTATCCCTGTCGGTGGTGGTATTGGTCTCTGGTTCCCCATGACAAATTGGAGTTTTATTTATTGAATATAGGAGTATTTTGCTGTTTAATATTTAAACAATGTTTAATATATTTCGTGATGAACTAGTATTATAGTTTCTGATTCGTTTCCCACGTGTCCATCTCTTTCGCTGGCTTTTTTTTCTTTTTCTTTAACAACAGCATGACAACAATCCATGCACAAATAACGAATTCGCGACGAGGAAGACATGGTAATTTTTAAGGTAGAAGGAAGTAGAGTGTTGATTTCTTATCTGCCATGCAGAATTAAGAGTTTGCTTATGACAGGAAAAGAGGCATACTTTTTGATTGGTCTGCACAGAAAAAGTAAAAGTAAATTATTTAAATAAAAAGTCATTATCTAATACACATTGAAGGGAATATTTTTCCTAAATAAAATTTTTTTGTGACTCCTAATGTAAAGCATGGTTCTTTTCTTGGGGGCCGGGGTGGGTGCAGGCTGGGTGGGTGGGAGGAGCACTCCTAACGGCCACGCTGGTTGGCGGCGCTCACGCACCTGCACATCCCGCACGTGGACACGGGCACCGCCCACACGGACACACGTGCACGGGCCCGTGGACACGGACAGGTGCGCCGGGCGGTGCTGGGCGCATGGGAGCCCGCGGGCCCGGAGCCGGGCAGGGCGTGCGGGCACCGTGCGGTCACCTCCCCGCAGAGGACATGTCCCCCCAAAACCAGCCGCTCAGCGAGGACCAGCAGGCACGGCCCCCGGTGAGCAGGTGTGTGTGTGGTGTGTGTGTATTTAACGGTCCGGCCTGACAAGCGGAGACTTTGCAAAGTGCCCCCCGTATTTGAGATCCCGGCCCGGCATGTCCATGGTTACCCCAACTTTCTTCCCGGCTCCCTGCGCTGCTCCTGACACCCCAAGGCTGCTCGGGGCTCCCCATCCTCCCCCTTTCTGGCCGCTGCCACCGGGTCTGCGCCTGGGAGTCTGTTTCTGCTCGGCTTGTTCGTCCGTCTCCTTTTAAAAAATACACATTTTACTGATTTTTTACCGGGAGGAGGGGAGAGGGGGAGAGAGCTAGAAACATCGATGAGAGAGAAACATGGATCAGCCGCCTCCTGCACATCCCTCACTGGGGTTGTGCCCGCAACCAAGGTCCATGCCCTTGACCGGAATCGAACCCGGGACCCTTCAGTCCTGAGGCCAACGCTCTATCCACTGAGCCACACCAGCCAGGGCAGTTTATCTTTCTGTTGACTTCTTATTGATTTCAGAGGGAGAGCCGATGGGTAACAGTCTCCATTCACCATCTGAGTGGCGCCAGGGCCACGGGTGGAGTGGGGTTTGGGTGCCTGGGGCACCCGCAGGGCATGTGGCCTGAGTTCAGATGCTTTCTTAAGGCTCAGAGGTGCTGGGAGGACCCGGCCGCCTGGCTCAGCGGCTGAGTGTCCACCTGTGAACCAGGAGGTCAGGGTTCGATTCCCGGTCAGGGCACAGGCCCGGGTTGCGGGCTCCATCCTCAGTGAGGGGCGTGCAGGAGGCAGCCGGTCCGTGATTCTCCCTCATCATGGACGTTTCCCCCTCCCTCCCTCTCTGAAACCAATAAAACAATAAGGCGGTATAACTAGCACACAGCCCACTAAAACCTTTCCCTCTTGCTTTTCTGAAAGACGCGGCTCTTGCATGTAACGGTGCGGGGACCCGAGTTTTGTGTTTAACGGTCCAGGCCGGAAGGCTCTTCTGGGTTTTAACCCAGGCCGCAGGGAGCCCGGGCCACGGGGCTGGCGCCTGCACAGAGCCGCCTGCCCGGGGTGGACATGGGGGTGGCATCTGATTCGCTCTGTGAAGCGGTGGACCGTGTGGAGGTGGGTCCTGGAGGGGGTGCAGCGGTCCGGGGACCACGTGAGCTTTTCCATGGCCCCTCAGTGAGTGTCTCCCTCATCCCTGATGGTTCTCGCTCCCTCCTCCTCCTTCCTCTCTGAAAGCAATAAAAGTGTTTTTGTTTTTTTTTCTTAAAGAAAAGAACTAGGGCCCTAACGGGTGTGGCTCAGTGGATAGAGCGTCGGCCTGCGGACTGAAGGGTCCCAGGTTCGATTCCGGTCAAGGGCATGGACCTTGGTTGTGGGCACATTCCCAGTGGGGGGTGTACAGGAGGCAGCTGATGCATCCATTGATGTTTCAAGCTCTTTCTTTCTCGTTGATGTTTCAAGCTCTCTACCCCTCTCCCTTCCTCTCTGTAAAACATCAATAAAATATATTTTAAAAAGAAAAAAAGGGAAAAAAGTGTCAGGGGCGCCCAGGTCACTGAGCCATCCTCCGAGCCGGGGCGGTGGGCGCTCCGGGTGATGGAGCAGCAATCAGACCATC